CAGCGGCATCCCCAAAGGGAGCCGAGGCAGCTGGGGAAACGGGCGAAAGGAGGGTGGGGTTCACCTGCCCCGGTGTTTGGGGGGCGGGCGGGGACCCTCCCCCTCCGTCCCGACTCAGGCCGAGAGGGAGAAAGCCAGGGCACGGGTGCAAAAGCCGCTGCCACCTTAGCGATGCTCTTTGCATCTGAAGGCACACTTCTAGCTGGCTTTTATCTCAAACTAAAATAAAATTCGTGGTTGGTCCCCAAAAACCCCAAATCTAAACCCAAAGTATCCTGTAGGGCTGTTTCTCCCTCCTTTTGCTGACCTGCGTTACCTGGGGCCACAAGGCAGCCTGGCCAGCGACCTGGTGGTCCTTGGGCATGGCCCTGCTGTGTCCCCCTGGGTCCGAGGGGTGACGGAGGGTCGGCATGGTGCTTCTTGCTGGATCCTGTTCCCGCAGGGCTCGCTGGTCTTCCTGGTGAGCGGGCTGGCGGTGCTGGGCTATGCAGCGGCCCTCAGTGCCCAGCCTACCTACCAGGGGGTCGTCCGGGTGGTGTGCGGGGTGGCGGTGGGGAAGCTTTGTGAGGTCTGCTTCCTCCTCAACCTCTTCATGATCTCCGTGGCCCTCCTCAGGGTGATGGGTGACCAGCTGGAGAAATGTGAGTTGTTTCCCCCCCCACTATGTTCAGCGCTCCCTGGCCCTCCTGCGGTGTGGTGCTCCCAACCCCCTTGGGCCACCTTTTGGGGCTCAGCTGACCCCCCACTTCCCCCCACAGTGTGCGACTCCCTATATCTCAACGGGACACTGAGTGGGGCTCCCCTGCCACCCCCCTGGTATGTGGACCAGCGCTTCACACTCCCGGCTCTTTGTGTCCTCGTCATTTTCCCACTCTCCGTCCCCAGGGAGATCGGCTTCCAGAAGTACTCCAGGTACCACCTGGGCTACCCCCATGGTGGCACACCCCCGGAGACCCTGTACCCCAAGCCCTGCGGGGCCACAGCACAGCCCTCCCTCCCGGCTACCGGGGGGGGGGTCCTGTGTGCCGATGCTCTCCCATGCCCCAGCAGCATCCTGGGAACGCTGGCTGCCTGCTACCTCACCCTGGCCATCGTCCTGAAATACTACCTGCAGGCAGAGAGCCTGGGCTCGCCCGAGCCCCTCGAGCCCTCCAGGTAGGGCGAGGGTCAGCCTCTCGTTCTTCCCACTCTGTCCTCAATGGCATCAGCAGTGGTATGGGGCAGGGCTGGAGGCAGTGCAGGGGGTGGCCCTGGGTGGGAGGTGAGGTGGGGACAGCACTGGCAGGGTAGTGGGTGGGAGGGTGGCAGCCCCCAGTCCCAGCTGTCACTTCAACAATCCCCCCTTCTCCCAAAATCACTGGGCGGGAAGTTCCCACGGTGGCATCCAGGCTTCACAGCTTACGCCACCAGGGTCCCCCCTGCCTCTGGGGACCCAATTCCCTTTGCTCTGTGCTTCCTCCTCCCCATGCCACAGGGCTTCCTCCTGGGCCTCCGTTTTCAGTGTCATCCCCACCATCTGCTTTGGCTTCCAGGTAGGTCACCCTGGCGCCACTGTCCCTGGCTTCCAGGGCAGTGCTGGCAGCCTTCCACAGCATCTTGGACCATGGGGACACCATCCCTTCCTGGAAAGGGGACCCATAGCTGTCACCAGATGTGGTTGCGGGGCAAGACCTGGGGATGGGGGAGAGTGGGACAGGGCACCCATGGATGGGAGGGAAGGTGCTGGGGTTGGGGGCTGCCCCTGCATGGGGCCCCAGCACCATCCCCCTGTGCCTTGCAGTGCCACGAGGCCTGTGTGGCCATCTACAGCAGCATGCGCAACCAGAGCTTTTCCCACTGGGTCGCTGTCTCCGTGCTCTCCATGCTCATCTGCCTGCTCATCTACTCCCTCACTGGTAACCCCAGCACTGGAGCCCTTCACCCCCTCCTTGCCCCAGGGGTGCCCTGTCCCCAGAGCTTATCCATCCTCCTTGGGGCTCCTCTGTCCTCATCAACACAGCTGCCCACCCCCTGCCTCCCTGTTGGCAGGGCTTTATGGCTACCTGACCTTTGGTGAGGCCGTGGCGTCCGACGTCCTGATGTCCTATCCAGGAAATGACCCAGTTGTCATCGTCGCACGCCTGCTCTTTGGCATCTCCATCGTCACCATCTACCCCATTGTGGTGCTGTTGGGCAGGTGAGGAGGTCGTGGCAAGCCAGATGTTCCCCCCTGGCCAGTGCAGCTCTGATGGGTGCCATCAGTCCCCCCTGACCAACCCCTAGGTCGGTGGTGCGGGACATGTGGGCGACCCCCAAGCGTGGGGCCACGGCGGTGCCTGAGGCACATGAGCAACGGAGCCGGGTAGTGCTGACGGTCGCCTGGATGGCTGCCACACTCGCCATCGCCCTGTTTGTCCCGGACATTGGCAAGGTCATCGAGCTCATTGGGGGCATCAGTGCCTTCTTCATCTTCATCTTCCCAGGCAAGAGTGAGCAATGGGAGGGAGAGGATGCTGGTGCCAAGAGCATTGCTTCTAGGAGGGGGTGGGGCTGCAGTGGTGGGTGGCCCATCCTGGCCCCATTTTGGGGGGTGCAGGGGTGTGCTTGTGGGGGACAGCATGGTGGGGTCTGGGTGAGGGGTGCCATGTCAGTGGGGCTAAGCCTCTGTGTTTGTGGCAGGGCTGTGCCTGGTGTGCATGACTGGGACCTGCACCCTTGGGCCACGCAAAAAGTGAGTGTTTGCGGGCTCGGTGGCAGCGGACAAGGGCAGGGGCAGGGTGTGGCATCCCACGACTCATGGCCTGAGCAGGATCCCTGGTGGTCACCCTGACCAAGGTGGAATCCCCATGAGGAGGGAGATTTGTGGCACCTGTAGGCACTGAAAGCAGGACCACTTGCTGCAGGACATGGGGTCTGTGGTGGGGCTGAAGGGTGGGTATGGAGGGATGTGCTCTGACATCAGGGATGTGCCTGGGTATCAGGGATGTGCCCAGGCAGTGGGGATGTCCCTGGGTATGAGGGGTGTGCACAGGCACCAAGAAGGTGCCCAGGTACCAGACCCCTTGCAGGAGAGAGCGGCCGTAGGGGAAGGAGAGCTGTGGGATTTGAAGGCACTGGGGCACCCAGTGGGGGCTGGAGTGGGGGTCAGAGGGGCACAGTGCCCCAAGGTGGGCAACTGTCAGGTGTTCAGTGTCTGTTATGCTGGGGCAATGCATCCCCACCACTGCTCCTGGCTGGAGAGGCTGAGGCACAGCAGCAGCCCATGTTGGGGCGACCTGACATGGTGCTGGCAAGTTTTGGGGTAAGCATGTGCCAAAACATGTCTTCAGTGCCCTGGGGGAGCAGCAGAGTCTGAGTGAGGATGGAGGTGATGTGAGGGGGGGTGTCCTGTCCCCCATGGTGGCTGGAGAAGCACCCCAGGACCTTGGGAGTCTCTACCCTGAGGGGTGGCCCATGGCTGTCTGGGCAGGTGCAAGGGTGCCCCCGGGGTGCTGAAGTGCTGGAGGGCCAAGGCAGTAGGGGAGCAGGGGCACTCAGGTGGCTGACAAGGACTTGGAGAGGTCCTTCGGGGAGACCTGCCAGGGCATGAGCCCGGGGGTGCCATCACAAGGAGAGGGGACAACACGAGCCAGGGCAATGGGGACAGCAAGGGGACAGTCCCAGCCTGCCTGGGGCAGTTCAGGAAGGTGCACAGTGCCAACAACCCTGCAATGGAGCAGCAGTGGGGTTTGGGGCTGAGTGTTGCATCCTGGGGGCTCGATGTCAGGCTGAGGCTGGGGGGACTGTGTGCCTGGGGAAAGTGGGACAGGGAGGTGCAGACCTACAGGTCACGGGGCTGGAGATGGAGCCAGGGAGGGACAGGTGTGAGGGGGGCATGTGGCAGCAGGGTGGGGGCTAGAGGTGTGTGAGGGTGGCCATGCCCAAGCACAGGAGGCCAACGTGGGTCTGTGCCCCCTCGGTGAGGCCACCAGGCACAAGCAGAACTGGGCATGGTCTTGTGGTGGCAGCTGCCAGGCTTTTGACCATGTTTTGTGTGTTGTTGCAGTGGGCACAGGGGATGAGCTGGAGGGGCTGCTGGGGTCTTCAGCCATCCGCTGGGAGCGATGCAGAGCAGCATGGCAGAGGAGGCTGAGGCATCACAGAGGGCTCCGTGCCCAGGGGGCTGGGGGCCATGGGGTGCCATGTTACTGGGGGTCTGCTCTGTCCCACCAGTCCTCTGCTCGTGTCCCCGCAGGGCTGCTCTCATCACCTGGGGTGTCCTGTCCGTGCTCGGCGGTGCCTTTGTCTGCGGGCAGAGTGCTGCCCTGGCCGTGCTGGGGTTGCTGCGCTGAGGGGCTGTGGACCCCCTCATTGTGCCGCCCACCATGCCTCCCCAGACCCATCGCCCCGGACACAGCTACACCGCTGGATCCCATTGTGGTTTTATTTGACATCACTGTCCCCGTTGTACAGCGGCTAATAAAGACGGGACAGGGTATCGGCGAGGGCCCTGTACCATGCACCCTGAGGGAACCCTGGGCACAGCAGGGTGGGGGCAGGACGGACAGCGAACACTGCACACGCACAGACAGACAGACAGACACAGACAGATGT